AAAAATTAAGTTTAAAAATTGAGATTAAGTTACATTTCTATTCCAATTTTCCCTTGTGTAAGTCTTGGAAAATGATAAGATGCCTGGAAAAAAATCAAAAGTCTGTGGTGATGAACGCTTTCTTTCTTTCCCCCGAGCTCACTTACAGATGCATGGCCTGAACATAAAACCTCACCTTCACGAACACTGTGTCTTTACCAACGAAATGAGTCAACCTGGCTACAAATCCCTGCCTCTCCGTACTCAGATTGATATTCGTCTTCACACTATGTTCTAAGAAGTGATTCCCAGCCCTCTGCAAACACTCAAAATGTTAGATTTTCAAAATATCTGTGTGCATGCAGTGTAATGCCTGGGGTGTGCCATATTCCATCGACCCCGAACCCTAGCATCAGTACTCAAACCAGCACCTGCAAGGGCCAGACTTGATTTTCTTTGTTATTCCTTCAGCTAGATAGAAATTTCCCTTCTCCTTCCTTACTTTTCCTCCTGCGGGCAATTGTATTTGAAGAATAAAACACCCACCCCTATCATCCCTACCTCCAACCTTTGATATTAATAACATTTTCCAAAGAGCTGGTCAAGGAAAATCTAGAGACAACATTCTCTCTCATCTCTCGTATGGATTTTTAAGAAGTCAGTAGGATCCTTCCAGGTAAGAGGTGAGAAAGGAAATGAAAGAAGAAAATAACCCCGAAGAGGACAAAGCCTGGAAACATCTAGACCCCAAATTAAGTTATTCAATCCTGACAATGTTCTTCTACCACCTTCTCCCTTCCATTTTGCCCCTGGCGGATTTTTTGGTTTCATATTCTCCCTCATGTTGGCTTTCCTTTCTGAAATTTTCTCCTCCTCTTCTCCTTCGTCACATAAGCTGCAGTTTTATAATTTAAAAATGCCATTATTTATTCAGTGCCTGATAAGAAATCAGGTAGAGGAGATACAAAAGGGTTTCAGACGTGGTTTCTGCTTCCGCGAAGGCCACTATGGCAGCAAATCCACTGATGTGTACCTCAGCATCGGCATCATCATTATCCTTACAACAACAATAACAACGCGAAATAGCACCCGAAAAATGCCAAGAGAAGGTGACAGAAAAGTATAACAATTTCACTGGAGCTATTTGGGGGCAAGAGTCACAAAAGAGAGTGTCAGAGCTGAGATAGGAATTGGCCAGAGCCTTAAAGGCATTAAGAAAGTATAGAGGGACTGGGTGTTGAAACTACCCCCTGCTTATTCTCTTTTAATCAAACATAAGAGAAAAAGAAAAGAAAGCTCCTTGCTCAGCTCCAGGCCTAGATCCCAGCTTGGCAGTGCATGCATTTGCTCTGGCAAGAGGATTAAAACTTATACCAAAGGCAATGCTCTCATATCAGATTTTCCCCTTTTAATTTTATTTTTTAAGCTGTACATATACATATATATATATATATATGTGTGTGTGTGTGTGTGTATATGGAATGAGACCAGACTGATTAGAAAACTATTACAATTTTTTTTTCTTTTTGTAAAGAGACAGAGTCTCACTTTATCACCCTCGGTAGAGTGCCATGGCATCACAGCTCACAGCAACCTCCAACTCCTGGGCTTAAGTGATTGTCTTGCCCCAGCCTCCCAAGTAGCTGGGACTATAGGTGCCCACCAGAACGCCTGGCTATTTTTTCCTTGCAGTTTGGCCAGGACAGGGTTCGAACCCACCATCCTCAGTATACGGGGCCAGCGCCCTACCCACTGAGCCACAGGTGCTGCCCCCAAACTATTAAATTTTACAGATGAAAAATAACAAAACCATGAACTAGGATGATGACAATGGAACGTTAGATGAAGAAAAAGGTTGTAGATATTATTCAAAACAAAAATTCCAGGACTTAGGGAGCATTTTAAATGTTTGAATTTCGAAAAGGTGGTAAGTTCCGTGCTTCTGATAAATGAGCATAGAGATGAAGAATCAGAATCCCCAGGGCATAGTAGGCATCAAGACATCCAAGTGGAGAAAATAAGAATAATTGGCCAAAGACTGAAGCCCATAAAAACCCAATATTTAAAAGGTAGACAAATAAAGAGAACTAGCAGACGGATGGATAGAAATAGAGATATAGACAGATAGATAGATAATAACTAGCATCTCTAATGCACAGACATATAACTAATATGCGTGTGTATCTATTTATCTGTGTATACAAACAATGTTGAAACACCTGTGTTCCTACACTAGTTAGTTGTCACTGGTGAAAGGATAGCAAATAGACCGGAACAGAGACAGAGCAGAGCTCAAACTAACCACTCTGCCCCTGTGCTTAGTGACAGAGAGAAAAAAGAGGAAAAGGAAATCTAGACCCTTCACCTCACCTTACTTCCTCTAACAAAAGGCACTTCAAACTCTACCACTGAGAAGGGTCACAGGCAGGTTTTCAGTGGAAAATATTTTATTAAAATCAAACCATAGGCAGTACATCCCCAAATCTTTATATTTAGGACTTAGAATTGCTTATCTAAGTCCATCACTACTTTGCAATAAACACCTGTGATGTGCAAGGCATGGTACATGTTTGTAACATGCAACATAGATATATATTTTAATGCAGATGGAAAAAATGAAGAATTATGTGCAGGAAATGAGCCTTAACTGTTGTGACTCATAACAGAACTCACTGCATAGTCATATAGCACTATGAACAGCTCTTAACTGTTCTGCTCTGGAGGGGCAGGTTTGCCTGGCATTACACCTCTGTTAGAACCAGAGGATGCTCGCTCAGACTTTCATTCTCAAAACCCTCATTACCCCTAGACTTATTTAGAAATTTTAAATGAAGTTTTGGTTCCCGTTGTCATACAGAGAGCCACAGAGCAAGGAGATTGGGAACTTCTGTGTAAAACGGACCCCAGAGTTGTTGTTGCCTTGGCCAAACTTAAGTTTGGCCCTGTCTGCACGTGCAGTTCAGAGATTTAATAAAATATCTGAATTGTGCACAGATTGGTATTGCTCAACATTTGGCTCCATTTCTTTATACCTTTAGAATATACAATCAATTTTCTGCCCCGAAGTCTATATTTCCTGTAGATACTAAACTTTGAGATTTTAAGACAAAACATAGAATTTAACTCACATGTTGCTAATAAAGAAAAACATATAATTTAAAGCATTAAGCACTTTCCAAATTACACAATGCATGACAAAACAGTACAAAACAATGTTTGCAGATGCAAATTATTATGTATACATATGATTCTCCACAAATAAGTATACCTTTCAGAAAGACTATAAAGGCCTTCTAGAAAAATATTTGCTCTTGCTATTTATGTGAGCAATTGAAGATAAATCTCGTTTTTCTCAAAATAAATCTACATATATCTGTCCATTTATTTGCAGTATAAATTATTTAACAAAATTGATTTAATGGATTCTAGGTCCTATTATACTCTTATTTAGATTACAAATTTCAAGATGTTTCTTATGGTAAAAATCCTGTATTAGATTAAGTTTAAATTTTCATAGTGATTGGCACGGTGGCCCACAAAATGTTTCAGCAATATTTATACTCACTTAGAAATGCTTTTCAATATCCTGAGTACAAAGTTTTAATGAAAATATGCTGATTTATCATAAAACACACAAATATATATGCCACCATATTAAAAATACGGTTTTTAATTTATTCTTTTTAATTTTTAATTTTAATTACAATTTTTAATTTTGATGATGATGTAATTTTTTATAGAGATGACTGGGCAACATTGTTTGTACCAGGCCATATTACACCTATATAGATTCTTAAAATTTATCTTTTCAACAAGAAAATAATGGCAACAACACAACAATAAATCTTGTGCTGTTGTGCTTTCCACTATCCTAGATCACCCAAAATATAAATTGACAATGTAACATGCTCAGTAGGTAACTACTGTTCTGCTTTTCAGAGGAGACTGGTTAAAAAGTCAAAAAATAAAAAAAAAATTTCAAAGTGAATTTCAATAAGCAGTATTTTAAAAAATAGGTTTTTTTTTTTAAGTTTTTGGAATCCCTACAAAAAAAAATATTTTTAATATCCTTTTAATAATAAAAATAGCTTTTATTTACCGTATCATAAAGAGGAATATTATATATCAACTTATTAGTTACATTTCATAATCTACCAAGATGTACTCACAATCCAAACTGATACTGTTCAAAAATTATCCATTGAATAATAGACCCCAAGCATATAAAGATTTCAAACTTAAGTACCCAAAGTCCAATTAATTACATTTCCCTACAGAACACAGCATTTGCATGATTCTCAAGACTTTAAAGATTTTTGTCTCTTAAAAGCGATCGTATTTACCCATCACCCAGGAAGGGTGGTGGCCCACAAGAATTTCCAAAGCAAAACTTCACTAACACTCCAAGCAAGAAATTAGAACTTGGTTTAAAATATATTCTGTAACAAGTACACGTAGAAAATTAATTTGTGCAATACCTCAGTATGTTTTTGGATGATCATATGCCTAAACATTCAAGACTATATTTTAATGGCTCTCAAAATTTGAGGAAGCAAACTTCTGGTCTAAAAAGAGGGAGTGGCTTACGTGAAACCAAAGCCATCTTATGACTTTAAATAGTGCAGTTTTTCTTAAAAAAATAAAAACTTCCTATTTGGTCATTAAAAAAATTCCTCAGGCTTTTATAAGTGTGTCTATTCTCATCACTTTGGGGATGAAGTAACAATGTTGCTTTCATATTCTTGAACAGATATAAATAAAGATACAGCGAAACAATGTCTTCCTTTCAGCTTGTGATTTCTCTCTCAATCATTTAAGTCTTTTTAGACAGAAACAATGTATTCTGTCCCATAACAAGCTGTGTCTCCCTGAACCACAGCAACCTTGACTATCTCACAGGCGGCTTCTTACTTCCAGGCACCAACGCATTTAACTTGCTCTCATGTCTATTTCAAACCCATCGTCCTCCCAAAGAGAAAAAAAAAAAAAAACGAAGGAAATATTAATATCCTTGTACTTACCTTCACCAAACATTTCCGTGTCCAGAAAGGCAAAGCCAAATGCCAGAAGTTTAAGCCACAAGTACATGGTCATATCTGGAAACGAGCCGTATCCCTAAGACACAGCATGCGTCCTTCTGAAAGGCAAATAATGGTTATCTCTGCAAAAGTTTTTCTCTGCAAACTGAATCAAAAATTAAAAAATAAATGCATACTCTTCACTGTTGTCTTATCAGACACGGAGCAATTTCCTCCTCTGTTACCCTAAGAACAAACCACTTGTGAGCTGCATGAACTGCTAAGTGGTGATGTCAGATTCGGTTTTACTAACTTCTCCAAAAAACTGTAGCGTCCTCTTTGCAGGAAGTCGAAAAAGTTGTTCAAAGTCTGTGCAATAGCATCTTACTTCCTTAATTCAAGTAACTACCCTAAGCTGGTCAGCCTTTTAAAAGATGTTCCTCTCAAAGGAGATGTTTTTAAACTATCCATACAATACTTCCTTACAATATCCGTTACACCTTAAAAAACAACAGCAACAAAAAAATCTCTCTCCCAAAATAATTAATAATTTTCTCTTCTAAGAGATTCTGAAACAGATTCAGCACGGGTATAAAGAAAGGAAGGTTGTCAAGGTGATGCAGAAATTGCATTTGTAGAAAATGCTGATATTTTTGTTAAAATGGCCAATGAACAAACTACCTATCTGGTTATTTTTGGCAACCAGTATCATTTACCATTAAGGCATTCAAAACCCAGCAATATGACAATTTTAGCAGTAAAACCCATTTCCTATGCAAAAGCGCTCTCAGGGAGCTTAACAGTTTTGCCCCAAATCTTTCACAAATATCCTGTGAGGGTAGAAATGGAATCAGAATGTCATTTCCACTACACTTACAGCAGATCCTACTTCAAAAAATCAATGCTCTGTGACTTAGGCTATTCTTGGTGCTATTGATGAAAGAAGAACAATGAAAAGCAAGAGTTGTCTTTTATAAAAGTGAACCTTTTTTCTTTTTCACAGCAATACTTCCCCAACATTTTCTTAGTTAAGTGTATCAGGTAGGAAAATGCTTACTGGTGAAAAGCTAGAATAAATGTATCAATAAATTAAGTAAGTTGGTGTCATTATCACAGTATCTATATACCTTAAAAAATAGAAGTGGTGGCTCATGGCTATAATCCTAGCACTCTGGGAGGCCTAGGGAGGTGGATTGCCTAAGCTCAGGAGTTGGAGACCAGCCTGAGCAAGAACAAGACCCCCATCTCTAAAAGAAGCCAGGCATTAGGGTGGGTGCCTGTAGTCCCAGTTACTTGGGAAGCTGAGGCAAGAGGATTGCTTGAGCCCAAGAGTTTGAGATTGCTGTGAGCTATGATGCCATGGCTCTCTACCCAGGGTGACCAAGTGAGACTCTTTCTCCCCCCAAAATAAAAAATAAAAATAAAACTGCACACAGGTATCAGTCATTGTTTATTTGAACTATAGATGATGTGTTGGGGACCTACAGACAGACAGAGCCCTTGCAATAACTCTGTAATTCCTGTTTTGAAAGCAATATCATAGGGTTTTTATAATTTAGTAAATTAATCTTTTGATATTTACAAACTTATTTATATTACTCTTATATTCACTGCTATGAACTACAGAGTCAAATTTGCATCCCCACTTTGTGAAAAGGGGAATAACTCTACCATTTAAACTCTGGATAATAATATTTTAATAAGATTATAGTATGATTATTACTTTATTATGATTATTACCATGATAGCTAATTTGTGGAGTTCTTAGAGTGTGCAATAACGATGCTTAGCATCTTGTGTACATCGTCTGGTTTTTACTATACCCTTAGCCAGATCCCTGTCTTATCTATGATGTTCAGAAAGGTTTGATGGTGTGTCTGAGGTCTCACACCCCGGCAGTAGACAAGTTATGTCTGGAACCCAATCACTCGAGTTCCAACTCACTGCCCTTACTTACCTTACTATCCTCCTTTGTTTTTTCTCACCTCTTTCCCCATTCTTTTTGTTCTATGTATTGTTGTTTTTTTTGTTTTTTGTTCTGTTTTGTTTTTGTAGAGACAGAGTCTCACTTTATCGCCCTTGGTAGAGTGCCATGGTGTCACAGTTCATAGCAACCTCCAACTCCTGAGCTTAAGCGATTCTCTCGTCTCAGACTCCCGAGTACTTGGGACTACTGGCGCCCACCACAACGCCTGGCTATGTTTTGGTTGCAGTTCGACCGGGGCTGGGTTTGAACCCACCACCCTCAGTATATGGGCTGGCATCCTAATCACTCAGCCACAGGAGCCACCCTGTTCCATATATTGTTATAATGTTTTATTTCTAAGAGATAGTCCATTGAACTAGTAAAAAAATAATGTTCTGTTTTTGCAAATGTACTTTAAATAAGATATCTATAAGAAGTAAGCACTAATTTTCACGAACATAGGCCTAATCAAAAATAGGCACCAGAGCTCATGGATTTGAGTATTCAGTGCCTCAGCCTATACCTTAAAATACCTTTGCAATGGAAAAATTTTTGTGAGTTAATTTTTGATGTCTTTAAGCAAATACTTGCATTCTGTTAGCTTGTTATTATGGTAGAATATTTGGGAAAATTAGGAGCCAGGAGGAAAGTGGATATGATCTTTCATAAGGGAGAAAAGCTTATAAAATTATGCTCTATAAAAATGTAGGTTTAGCAGCCTCAAAGAGACATTAAAAAGGGCCTTTGTAGATTGTGGCTTAAAAAAAATAGTGGCTCAGGGCCGGTAGCTCAGTAGCTGGGGTGCCAGCCATATGCAGGAGAGCTGGTGGGTTGGAACCCAGCCCTGGCCTGACAAACAACAATGACAACTGCAACAACAAAAAAATAGCTGGCATTGTGGCAGGCACCTGTAGTGCCAGCTACTTGGGAGGTTGAGGCAAGAGAGTCACTTAAGTGTAGGAGCTGGAAGTTGCTGTAGGTTATGATGCTACAGCACTCTATGGAGGGTGACAAAGTGAAACTCTGTCTCAAAAAAAAAAAAAAAGTAAGAAAGTGAGAAGATTCAATTCCATTTCAGGAAGGGGGGAAAATGAGTTGGCGTATATGTCTTATTAATATTTTAATGTATTGAAATTGACTTTAATATTTACAGAAATATTAGAGTTTTTAAGTAGCAAAATCTATACTGTATGTCCTAAAACCACCAAGACAGAGAGCCAGATGTATGGAGACATCGGTGAACAAATATATGCACAATTCTGACGGCTGAGAAGGGAGGCAAGCCAGGGAGTTGGTATCCTGGGATCCAGCTTGTTGGAGGCACACATGAGGAAAGGGGCCAACAGCTTGTCAAGAGATGGAGCACAGCTTTCCTCAGCCAGCAGACAACGCTGAACTAGATATCCAGGCAGGACTCAGAAGAGCAGCTGGCCTTTCCACAAAGGATCTGGGGAAATCTCTTATTTTATTACATTTGGGCCTGGCATCCAGGCCCTCAGCATGCAGCAGCAGCAGAAAATTCTCAAAAAGAAAACGGAAAGACTATTTGTGACATACTGAGGTGACCACTGTAGCTGATTCTGAGTGGGCGGGTGGGCAGACTGTTCATGAATGGTATTTTGCTAAGAACATCTGAGACTAGGAAAGGGCAGAAAGTAACACCAGATCTCCTAAGGAGTCAATACCCGGGTGCATCTTTAGGAGTTGGGTGCAGATACGATGTATCCAAAACAACCTCAAAGTTTGATCAAGAACATTTCGAAATAACGTAGCTACTTTTTAAAAGCTGTGCTTTCAAGTTCAAGTAAAATGTCACTCCAGTTAACCAAATCACTTTGCGGATTTTTTTAAAGTAAAGATTATGTAAAACAGGAATACATTACGTGAGGTTAACTACAAAAGCAGATGTCTTTCATTCATTGATTCAACAAACACAGAGTAAGCTCTGAATGAGTCTGTGTAAGATATTCATTTTGCCTGGCATGAGGGGGAAAATGGTGAGCAAAAACAAACATGCTCCCTGCCCAGTCTCTACTTTAGGAAAAGACACAGTAATTAATTATCTAATCATGAGAAGGTCAGCACACAAAGTACTTGAGGCTCTGATCGAAGGATATAATAGAGTATTTGGTCTAGTCCTGAGGTTGTGAAGTTTGCTGGAATTTAAAAGCAATGAAGCTAGAGCTGAAAAGAAAATAGTAGCAATTAAATGAATGCAAGGAGAAGGAGAGTATTCTTGAAGGAAAGAACAAAATATTTTTAGGAGGCGTGTGTGTTCAAGACACCAGATGAGGTGCGTGTGTGGCAGGTGGAGAGAAAAGCACTGTCTGGAAAGTGATGAGGCTTTAAAGGCAGGTGAGAGCCAAACCCTGCAGGCCTCGTGGGTTCTGAGAGTGACCTTTATCCTGAGACACAGGGAGAACTATAGAAGCATCAGGAACATGGTTCTTGGATCTTCTTGTCAAAATGATGCCTGTGTTGCCAGATTTTATACCCTCACTTATTCCTACATCTTTGTCTTACACAGTTTCTCAGCCACATGATAAGCAGTTAATCTTTCCTTCTCTAACTATGATGTTTTGTCAGCTTCCAAAACACCATTATCGACATAGTTTCCTTGAGTGTCATTGACTTTTCCTCAGCAGTTGCCATGTTGGGGCCTCTTCCCCACCTGACTTTTATAGTAAGTAAACACTATTAAGATGCATTAAAAGCTCAGCAGACTCGGCACGTGGCCTGCCTCTCTTTCTGGGTAACTAACAAATTTTGACTCTAGGCAGATCTATACTTGAGGTCTCTAGACTCATATCTCCTACTGCATTCTTGAAACATCCACTGCACTGCCTCACACCCAACTCAGTGGAAGTCTTGGCCCATCTTTGCCACCAACCTGCCCCAGCTCTCAGTCTTCTCTGCATCTGTCAGTGACTTGTGGCAGAAACCTAACTTTTATTTATTTCTCCTTTTCGGTCACTACATCTAATCCATTAACAAGCATCATCCATTCTATCTATGCTGTGCTCCTTTTCCAGTTGCACCACGCAGGACCAAGACACCATCACTGTTCAGATAGTCCTTTAAGTAATTTCCAACCTTCCCTCTTATCTGCCTTCAATATTTCTTTCCTACAAGGACCAATCAAGCTGATCTTTTGTCAAGACAAAGTGAGTCATGACAAATCCTTTCTTAAAACCTATCAATAGTTTTCCAATTTGAATTTTGAATAAAAGCCAACCCCTGCATTTCTAACCCATTGAATGTCAGTGTTTCCCTTCTCACACTATGCTCTGGCCACAAAGAATTTTTTATCTTAAAATGCCAAATTCTTT